TAGCACTGTGGTCTTGACTTTCCCAGCCTCCAGACTGTGAGAAAGAAATGCCTGCTGCGGAAGCCGCCAGCTATGGTCATGTGTTAACGGCAGCCCGAGCCGACTAAGGCTCTCAGCGCCTTCTCACCCTGTTCTCTGGGCTTCTGGGGGCCCTGAGGACTCACCCCACCCCAAAGAGGCTGAGGGTCAGGCAGGGCCTCTGATATGGGCACACAGGGATGGGGGCGCACAGGAATGGGGGCGCACAGGGGTGGGGGTGCACAGGGGTGGGGCGCACAGAAATGGGGGTGCACAGGGGTGGCTGAGAAAGGGAGGTCCCTTGGTGACCTACCTGGAGCTTCGCGGGGCCCAGCCCAGCTCACACCTGGCTCTCACAGGCCCCAGACCATGGCCAGGCCCCGGGGCCAGCTGGCCGTGCCTGGGTGTGGGGGCAAGGGGTGCTGTGGAGGAGGCTGCCCTCAGAGCAGGGGGCTCTGGCCAGCAGGGGCAGTGTTGCTGGAGGGGGCAGATGGCGTGGGTGGCCTGGGCCAGGGCACTGGGAGCAGAGGCCTGTCTCCCCAAATGTGAAGATCCCCGAAATGGTCCTGAGTGCCCCTTGGGCGGCAGATGGGATGAGGGAGAAGATGGGAGAGTCTCCCTGGCCAGCCCATGCCCTGCTACCGTTCCTGCCGCCTCAGTCCCCCCCCCCGCCCCCCGCCCCCGGAGCCTACGGAGGGCTGGGCCCCCCGCAGTGAGGAGTGGGCTCCTGCCCTTCAGCGCGGGGACTGTGGCCAAACGGGGCCAAGCAGACGGGTCTCCTGGTCAGTGACTCGCTGGGTCATGAGGGTAGGAGGTCCGGGTGGGGCCAGGCTGAGGGGAGGGAAAGGAAGGAACGGGAGCCGGGCCCGAGGAGTAGAGGACAATAGACGGGAGGAAGCCGCAGGGCCAGGGCCAGGGCACTGGAGGAGTAGGCACAGCCCCTACTGTGTGTGAGTGTATATGTGAGTGTGTGTGCGTGTGTGTGAGTGTGAGCATGTGTGAGTGTGTGTGCGCGTGCGTGAGTGTATATGTGTGTGTGAGTGTGTGAGTGTGTGTGAGTGAGCATGTGTGTGTGTGCGTGTGCGTATATGTGTGTGAGAGTGTGTGTGCGTGTATGTGTGTGTGTGAGCATGTGTATGTGTGTGTGAGTGTGTGTGAGTGTATACGTGAGTGTGTGCGCGCATGTGTGTGAGCATGTGTGAGTGTGTGTGCGCGTGCGTGAGTGTATATGTGTGTGTGAGTGTGTGAGTGTGTGTGTGTGCGTGTGTGCGTGTGTGTGAGTGAGCATGTGTGTGCGTGTGTGTGTGCGTATATGTGTGTGAGTGTGTGTGCGTGTATGTGTGTGTGAGCATGTGTATGTGTGTGTGAGTGTGTGTGAGTGTATACGTGAGTGTGTGCGCGCATGTGTGTGTGAGCATGTGTGCGTGTGTGTGCGTGTGTGTGTGTATGTGTGTGTGAGTGTGTGCGTGCGTGTGTGTGAGCATGTGTGAGTATGTGTGTGTGTGAGTGTGTGTGAGTGAGCATGTGTGAGTGTGTGTGTATATGTGTGTGTGCATGTGCGTGTGTGTGAGCATGTGTGAGTGTGTGTGAGTGTATATGTGTGTGTGTGCGTGTGTGTATGTGTGTGTGTGAGTATATATGTGTGCGTGTGTGAGTGTGTGTGAGTGTGAGCACCCCCCCCACACACATGCTTTCCTGAAGGGGTCACTCAGGACCCCGCTTCTGCCCCGTGCTCTGTGGAGCTGCCCTGGGGCAGAGCCCAGTGGGGCAAGCCCTGCAGGCCAGCTCTTGTCGCTGCTGGAGCTGGAGGGCTGCAGAGGCTACACTTGTCTGCTATGTTTGCGGGCAGTGTTTCATCCTTGTGAGTCGCCTATGCAAGTCCTCTGCCATTTTTCTTAGTATTTTGTCTTCTTGTTGGTTTTCAACAGTATTTATAGCTCAAGGTTACCCGCCTCTGCACTGGACAGTCAGAGTGACTCCCAAACTCCCCGGAGAGGAGAAAACAGGGGAGGGGGACCGCGCCAGGCCTGAGCACCGGGGCGGCCGCGGGGAGCCTGGAGCGGGGCAGCAGGAGGAGGCCGGGCTGGCAGCGGCGGGGCCAGTGGCAAAGGGAGATCGGAGACGGTGCAGAGCTGAAGTCAGAAGCTGAGTGACCGAGGGTTAATGGGAGGCAGATGCAGGAAACAAGGCTGCCCTTGCTGACAGCAGGGGGGTCAGAGGGCACGGAGCTTTCTGGAGAGAGGAGCCTGGGCGACGGGCAGGCGGCAGGGCCAGCTCCGCGCACACCGCCCGAGGGCGGTGACAGAGAGGGGTCAGCTCCGCCCTCCTGCAGGGCCAGACCCTCCTGAACCCAGAGCCAGAGGAGCTGCAGACCACGCGGCTCCCGGAGGCCAGACCTGGCTGTGCAACACCGGACAAGCACCCAGACCTCTCTGGGCCTCCGTTTCCTTGTTGGTAAAAGGACATGACACCATCAGCTACTTAATGGGATTGAAGGATGGACTGAGGTGAGGGTGCCAAGCTTTTAGGCCAGGCCTGGCACAGTGAGGGGCTCTGTGACTCGGGCCGTTACTCTCCTGGTCACAGACATGACAGGTGGCCTGTTGGCAGAGCTCTATATTGGCCCCAAGACTGACGGAGCTGAGGCCTCCAGCTTATAGGCGAGGACACCAAGGCCCCGAGACCACAGGGGCCAGGCCTGGCCTCATGCTGACAACGGCTTTAACTGCGTCCTCCAGAGAGATATGTTCAAGTCCTAGCCCCTGGGACCCACGACTGGGACCTCATTTGGAAAAAGGGGTTTTATCAATGAATCAAGTTAAGAAGAGGTCGTACTGGACTCGGGTGGGCCCTACATCCGATGGCTGGCGCCATTTAGAAGGAGCAGATTTGGCCATAGCCGGTTTGGCTCAGTGGATAGAGCATCGGCCTGCCGACTGGAAGGTCCCAGGTTCGATTCCGGTCAAGAGCAGGTACCTTGGTTGCAGGCACATCCCCGTGGTGGGGTGTGCAGGAGGCAGCTGATCGATGTTTCTCTCTCATCGATGTTTCTAACTCTCTATCCCTCTCCCTTCCTCTCTGTAAAAAATCAATAAAATATATTTTTATAGAAGGAGCAGATTTGGACAGGGACACAGACATGCGGAAGAGGGCCGGTGAGGAGGGAGGTAGCAGAGGCTGGAAGGATGCTGTCGCAGCCCGGGGATGCGTGGAGCTGCCAGGAGCCGAAGAGGCGAGGCAGGAGCCTTCCCTGGCCCCCTGGAGGGAGCATGGCCCTGCCGACACCTTGACCTCAGGCCTCTGGCTCCCAGAACTGGAAGAGGACACATATCTGTTATTTCGGGCCATTCAAAGTTTGTGGTACTTTGTTCCAATGACCTTAAGAAACTACTGGAGCCACGGAAGAAGTGGGCCTCAGCCTTAACCGGTTTGGCTCCGTGGATAGAGCGCCGTCCTGTGGACTGAAAGGTCCCAGGTTCGATTCTGGCCGGGGGCACATGCCCAGGTTGCGGCTGGATGCCCAGTAGGGGGCGTGCAGGAGGCGGCCAATCAATGATTCTCCCTCATCATTGATGTTTCTCTCTCTCTCTCTCTCCCTCTCCCTTCCTCTCTGAAATCAATAAAAATATATTTTTTTAAAAAGTGGGTCTCAGACCAGGCTGCCCCCCAGCTCTGCCCTGGACCCCCTTCTAGATGGCCTCCTCCACTTGCTCCGGGTGTGCTCTTGGGCCAATCGGGCGCTTTGGTCCCCTCGCCTCAGCTATGGAGCACGTGACCCTGGATCAAAGGAAGGGCCGTCCAGCCCCGGGTCACCTGTTGGCCGCTTGGCCATTCAGAACCTGGAGACCAATGCAGGGGCGGGGTGTGGACCCTGAAAACAGGGGCAGCCATTCCCACTCCCCCGGGTAACCCGTGGGGAGACTGAGGCAATCGGGAGCAGGGCTCCATCCAGAAAGGAACTTGGGCCCAGGGGCCTGGCCTTCTGATTTGACGGACAAGCTGGGCATCTCCATTTCTGTGTGAGCAGAACTTCCCACTTGCAGTCAAGGAGCAAGAACCAGGGCCGAAGTGTGCTGGGAGCCAGGGGCCCTGTGGTCCCCGCCGGCCGCCCTATCGGGGCTGCACCTGGGCCCACCCAGCCCTCCGCTCTTCTCGGCAACGGAAGGGGAGGCCACACGGGGCGGTCTGAGCTTGGCGAGGGTCTCATAGCTTGGCCTCTGATCTGCACAGCAACCTCGGAAAGGGAACAGCAACAACAGCGAACAGCTGTCCAGCCTGCTGCCTGCTTGCCCCGCTCGGTGCCCGGAGCTGGACTGGGCAGCTCTGGACGGGATGTTCTTGTGAATTCTGTTTGACTCTGGGAGGAGGCTTATGCTGCCCATTTTAAATGTTTAATCATTAAACACATCGGATTCAATGTGACTAAACAGATTTCCCTCCCCTGGACAACTCTGGCCTCTGGCAGGTGCCAGGCGGGAGGCTCCCAAGCCCTCCCGGTGGGGCAGGGGGCGGTGGGGCAGGGGGCGTGCGGCCAAGGCTGGGACCTCCTCAAGCAGATGTCCCAGAATCAGAAGACAGCAGGGCCGCCGGGGCCCGAGGTTGGGGAGGGTCAGATGCTCGGCCCGGCCCGAGGGAGATGCCTAACCCCCAGCACATGGTCCTAGGCTGGGGCGCCTGGGTCGGGCCGAGGTCACTGCCTGGGTCGGGCCGTGCGATGGGCGGAGCTCGGACGGCGCCCCGCGGCCGCGGGCGGGATCGCGGGCGGAGCAGGGGTTCGGCCGGGCCGGGCGGGAAGCGGCGGGCGGGCCTCGGGCTGGGGTGAGGCTCGGCGGCGGGTCCTCGCCCGTCAGCCCCCGGGTGGGTGCGCCAGGCCCCTCCGGCTCGGGCCCCGGGAGGCGCCGCGCTCCTCCGAGCCCGCAGGGGGCGCTGTCGCCACCACTCACTTCCGGGGCCGCCGCGGACCGGAAGTCGGTCAGTCACTTCCGACGCGGAGCAGCGGGAGCGGCGGCGGACCGGCGGGCGCGGCAGCGGACCGGCACCGGAGAGGCCAGGCCACGGCCGCTCCGCGCGCCCACGCGGGTCCCCTGGGCGGGAGGGCGGCCGCCGCGATGCCCTTCCTGCACGGCTTCCGGAGGATCATCTTCGAGTACCAGCCGCTGGTGGACGCGATCCTGGGCTCCCTGGGGGTCCAGGACCCCGAGCGCCAGGAGCCGCTGGAGGGGTGAGGCCTCCCGTCCCGACCCCGGCGCTCCGACCCGGCGCTGCCTCTTTCTGTCGCTGCCAGTGGGCGGGAGGGCACCTGCCCCCGCCTCACCCCGAGGGACCGAGGCCGCCGAGCGCCGGCTCCCGCCCTGCCCTGCCCTGCCCTGCCCTGCGCGGGTGCGGGTACGGGTGCGGGTGCGGGATGCGGGATGCGGGGTGCGGGGTGCGGGATGCGGGGTGCGGGAGGGGGTGCGGGGTTCGGGATGCGGGTGCGGGTGCAGAGTGCAGGGTGCGGGTGCGGGAGCGGGTGCAGAGTGCAGGGTGCGGGTGCAGAGTGCAGGGTGCGGGATGCGGGGTGCGGGTGCAGAGTGCAGGGTGCGGGTGCGGGGTGCGGGTGCGGGAGCGGGTGCAGAGTGCAGGGTGCGGGTGCGGGGTGCGGGAGCGGGTGCAGAGTGCAGGGTGCGGGTGCGGGAGCGGGTGCGGGTACGGGTGCGGGATGCGGGAGCGGGTGCAGAGTGCAGGGTGCGGGTACGGGTGCGGGATGCGGATGCGGGTGCGGGTACGGGTGCGGGATGCGGGTGCGGGGTGCGGGAGCGGGTGCAGAGTGCAGGGTGCGGGGTGGGGGTGCGGGGTGCGGGAGCGGGTTCCAGGCTCGTGGCAGGGCTGCAGGGCGGGCCGGCAGCGCCCCTGCCTCAGTGCCCACTGCGCCCTGGCGGTGCCCCCACCTGGGGTGCAGAGCAGCGGGCGGCATCCGCGAAGGCCTCGGTCCCCCGAGCAGTGCGAGCGGGGACTGTGTAGCCGAGTTAGCGTTTATGCGGACACCAGCGGCCTCTCCGCGAGCCCGTGGCAGAGGTGAGCCGGGCACCTCGGTGAGCCCACCAGCCACCAGCCTCCTGGAGCTCATGCGCCCGCGGGGAACCTGGCCGTCATGCAAACAGCTGGTTCAGAGGAACGGGGCGTCGCGCGTGTTGGGGGGACCCGTTGGAGTGTCACACGCAGGGTGGTGAGCCCCTCCGAGGACTGGGGGGAGTGGGCCTTCTCCCGCCGTGGGGTCTCCGCGGCTGCTCTGGGCGGGTGGGTAAGGCAGCTCCCCGCGGCTGCTGCTCGACACCCATGGGCACTGGCTCTCTGGGGCTGTGGGGATCCTGCCCAGGCAGTAAGGGTGGAGCCTTGATCCCAACAATTGAAGGGGTGCAGATGGTGAGACTAAGGGGGAGCGGGGAGAGGGGGGCGCCTGTGGGGGAGGGAAGCCTGGCCAAGAGGAGGAGATGGCGGCCTGGGAAGGAGTTACGGGAAGGACTGTCCCCGGGTCTGGCTTCTGGGGACAGTCATGGCGGTTCTTAGTGGTCAGTGTGCTGGGGGGGCGCTGGGGTGTGAAGCCCGGGAAAGCCGGGGAGACGGATGGTCCCGTGAGGAGGGTGAGCAGGGAGGGCGGGCTGCCGCCTGCCCTGGCGGCAGGTTTCCTCTCAGCTCAGGGACAGTCGGTGCCTGAGGAAGGGGTGTGTGTCTGGCTCTTGCTCCTGGCCACAGGGCTCCCCTCCGTCCCAGCAGCCCAGGTGTGTGAGGCTTCGTACCCCAGGCAGGGCCAGGTCCTCTGCAGCTTGGAAGGAGGCTGGAGACGTCCGGTCCTTCTCGGCAAACCTGCGGAGGCTGCTCCAGTTAAAACCTGGCTTGACCCACAGAGCTTTTCCAAAGAGAAATTCTGCCCCAGAGCCAGGGCCCTGCCCCGAGGGGGGAAGGGAGGTGTAAGGACAGCGGGACCCTCAACTGGCCCACCTCTCTCCTGCCCAGGCCCAGCTATGTGCCCAGCGAGGAGAGCCGGCTCCTTGTTCTCACCGAGCTTCTGGAGAGAAAGGCCCACTCCCCGTTCTACCAGGAAGGCGTGAGCAATGCGCTGCTGAAGATGGCCGAGCTGGGGCTGACCCAGGCGGCTGATGTTCTCCTGCGAAACGGGGCCAACCTTAACTTTGAAGGTCAGGGGAGCCTGTGGGGCTGGGGCGGGCAGGCGGCTTCGGTGCGGCCGCTCTGGGTGGCGGCCAGGCCTCTGGGCTCTGCCTGACTTCTCTTAGCAGCTTATTTCGTGGGCGATGGCTACGGAACCCACACTGGTGGCCTCCCACCCTGCGGGCTTCCGATGGCCCTTAGCACCTCTGGCCCAGGAGCAGGCTTGTTGCTCTGCTACCCTGTGATTGATTTAGCAAACCTTCCCAGCTCCCGCTAATTCCCTGCTTCCATCACGGTGAGGTGCGGGTGCTGGCACTGTGCCCAGAGCTAAGGGAAGGTCATTTCCTGCCACTTACTCCTTTTTTTTTTTTAATGTACTTTATTGATCTTTTACAGAGAGGAAGGGAGAGAGATAGTTAGAAACATCGACGAGAGAGAAACATCCCCTCCCACTGGGGATGTGCCTGCAACCAAGGTACATGCCCTTGACCAGAATCGAACCTGGGACCTTTCAGTCCGCAGGCTGACGTTCTATCCACTGAGCCAAACCGGTCAGGTTCCTGCCACTTATTCTGAGCGCTCTTGCATTTTCGTTCATCCCACAGGAAGAGGGGGAAACACGGCATAAGTCACAGCGGGACTGTGCTGGCTTCTGGCTTGTAGGTGCTGGGTGGGGACGGGAGGTGAGGGAGCCGTTTTCCTTTCCTCTCTGGCTTTTCACCCACGAGGGCAGGGTCAGCCAGGAGACGTGTGGGGCTGACTTATGACCAAATGGCGGTCTTTGCTCTGACATAGGACATGGCCAGGCATGGCTCCTCTCCCCTCTGAGGACCGGCTCAGAGGCTGCAGGCTCCTGGAGGGTCAAGGAGCTGAGGTGGGGAGGGGGAGGGGGCGTGGGGGGAGGGTGTTCTGAAGTCAGGCGCTTGGAGACCCGGCTTTGAGAACGTGGCTGCTGTCGCCAGGCTTGAGGAGCTGGCACTCTGGGTGTCCTCCCAGTAACCCGAGAGGAGAGGCCCTGTTGTATGGTCCCATTTTACAGAAGAGGAAACTGAAGCCCAAACAGATTAAGTACGTGCCGTACCCACTGCAACACCCAGGACCCGAACCTAGGCCTGACCAGAGCCTGTGCTGTAGCACCCAGTGAGGACAGCTGTGCTCTGACCCCTCGGGTGACAGCAGCCCGGGCCCGTCGGGGGAGGGGGGAGTGCGGGGACGGAGCTTCCAGGCCAGGCCCTGGGATTCTGTGAGAACGTGCTGACAGGCAGGACTGACGAGCTGGCTGTGCCCTCAGACCCTGTCACCTATTACACGGCCCTGCACATCGCTGTCCTGCGAAACCAGCCTGACATGGTGGAGCTGCTGGTGCGCCACGGGGCCGACATTAACCGGAGGGACCGGGTAAGAGCCGGGTGGCCTGCTCTGAGGGAGCCATTAGGGGCGAGAGCAGCCTCCCAGGCCAACCGACTGTGCTTTCTTGGCTCAGATCCACGAGAGCAGCCCCCTGGACCTGGCCAGCGAGGAGCCGGAGCGTCTGCCCTGCCTGCAGCGCCTCCTGGACCTTGGGGCAGACGTCAATGCAGCCGACAAGCATGGTGGGTACCGCCTCTGGGGTGCCCCAGGGTGACAGGCGGGCAGGCCGGTGTAGCCCATGTGCTGGCCCAGCACACCTGGTGCGCACAAGTGCACCTGCAGAAGCTTGAGAGACTGCAGCCGGTGGCCCACACAGCCCCTTGACGGCTGTCTGAGGGAGGACCTCAGTGTCTGCGCTCAGCTTCTCAGAGAACTGTCTCCTGTTGGGAGAGACCCAGGTCTCGGGTAGCATCCCAGGGTCCAGAAAAATCCTACCTTGGCCCTTCTGCTCTCATGTGTGTGGCTGGAAAGAATCGCCAGAAAGCGGTCACCCTCAGCCCTAGCTGAGGTCAGTCCTTTTCCAAGTTCATTTTCTGATCTGAGCGTCTATCTCCCTCCTTCTCCGGGGCTGCCCTCCCTCGGCTCCCTGGCCTCCCCCCCCCACCCTCCCTCCTCAGGGAAGACTGCTCTGCTCCACGCTCTGGCCAGCAGCGACGGCGTGCAGATCCACAACACCGACAACGTCCGGCTGCTGCTGGAGGGAGGTGAGGCTTCCCCAGGCTGCCTGCCTCCCCCTTCCCCGGGGACTGCAGGTCCTGCTGCTCTCCCCGCCCCAGGGCCACTTTAGGGCTGAAGGGCTCCTCCCATCTTCTGTCCTCCCTGCTGGCTCTTCCAGGGGCAGACGTGAAGGCGACCACCAAAGACGGGGACACCGTGTTCACCTGCATCATCTTCCTGCTCGGGGAGACGGTGGGAGGGGACAAAGAGGAGGCCCAGCTGATCAACCGCTTCTGCTTCCAAGTCACGCAGCTGCTGCTGGCTCACGGGGCCGACCCCAGCGAGTGCCCAGCCCACGAGTCGCTCACGCACACCTGCCTCAAGAGCTTCCAAGTGCACTTCCCTCTCCTGCGCTTCCTGCTCGAGTCCGGAGCCGCCTATAACTGTTCCCTCCACGGAGCGTCCTGCTGGTCTGGCTTCCACGTGGTCTTCGACAGGCTCTGCTCCCACCCGGGCTGCGCCGAGGACGAGAGCCACGGGGACCTCCTGCGCAAGGCCGAGACCGTCCTGGATCTCATGGTGACCAATTCCCCAAAACTGCAGCTGCCGGAAAACTTCGACATCCATCCCGTGGGCAGCCTGGCAGAAAAGATCCGGGCCCTTCACTCCTCCCTGAGGCAGCTGGAGAGCTACCCCCCGCCCCTCAAGCACCTGTGTCGAGTTCACATCCGTCGCTACCTTCAGCCGTGGCCCGTGGATGCGAAGGTCCAGGCCCTGCCTCTGCCCGACAGGCTGAAGTGGTACCTCCTCAGTGAGCACAGCAGCCCCGTGGAGGCTGACATCTGACCGCTCCAGACCAAAGGGACGGTCTGGGCCCCTCAGCCAGCCCGCTGGTGGACTAAAGTCCCAGCGGCCTTGGGGGAACCTTTGGTCCTGCCCGTGAGAAGGCGCAGGCTGCCTGTCAGAAGGTGCAGGCTGGTACAGGAGAGCCGGCAGCTGCGGTCATTGCTGTGGGAAAGGCTGTGTCTTCAGGGAGACGGCCCCCATCCCTTTGACAGTGATCCAGTTCTCAACCCCCATGGGAGAAAATGACAGGGCTTTGATTTGGGACAGACGTGAAAGGACTGGTGGGCATTCCTGAGCACAGACTCCTGTGAGCTGCATGGACAGAGCTGAAGCCAGAAGGAACTGGGTGGGCCTTTGTGGGTGCGGCCCAGGCAAGGCCCTTTACTCCACAGAAGGGCTTTGGTGGGCAGGGAGAGCAGAGCTGCTTCCTCCTGGTGTCGTTGCCCCGCCCACCGGGGCACAGGGCTGTGCCAAACTCAGGTCTTGGGGACCATGCCTTCTGCTAAAAAGCAATCATGCATGACCAGGGACATTCCAAAATGTCTCACCTGAGGACGAAAGCTACCAGGACTGAAGGCTGACTCCTGCCCGGTGCTGAGCCTCACAGAGCTGTCACGATGGTCCTTGTGAATTGTGTAAATGCCTCAGATATAAGCTAAGGCAACTAAAAGCATATTTATATTACCCAATTAGACTGACTTCTCTGGTCTTAAAAGGCCCTTGATAACATTTCTGCCCCCCCATTTCAGGATGACGGGCCTCACAGCGTCCTGGAAGAGGGGATCAGCACGAGCAGACACTGCATTAGGGCTTAAGTAACACTTGTCCCATAACAAAAGCACCATCTAGACCGTGGGGCCTTCCAACATAGGGATTCACCCTTTTTATTTCTGACTGGAAACATCCGCCAAGGAGGAACCACAAGGCACGGCCAAAAGTGAGCCGTGGGCCTCTGCCGGCTGCAGGCTGCTATGACCTCCACGTTAGGGACACCAGGGCCCATCACCAGAGGACTTGGAACAGGAACCTGCCACCAGCTGTGATACAGCGGCCGCGCCTCTCCCCAGAGGTCGTGTCCTCAGCCGGGGTCAGGGTTCTCTTCCTCTTAAGGCCGCCAGGCCTGTGGCTGGTGGTGGAGACCAGGAGTCTCCGCTCTGATGGGTCGCCACACCCCACAGACCCGCACTGCCCAGGCCCCCCCGGGGGCAGCGGAGCCAGGCGCCTGCCTCTGCCCATTGGATGGCACTCCTCCCGGTGGGTCCTGTGGTTAAAAAGCCTGTGTGGCCAGTGGATGGCAGGCAGGTGCATTTACTGGCCTCACTCAGCTCCTGCGAACCGTCGGCGTGAGCCTCTGATGGCACCTGGCTGCCAGCTGTCCGCCCCCGCCGGCCCCTCTTGCCCTGCGGCCCCGCTCATCTCAGGGCCAAGCTGTAGACGTGGTAGATCTCGTCGGGGAGGTTCTCCTGCCGCTCCTGGGCGAGGAGGCTGAGGCCGGCGCTGCGGACGATGCCGTGGACCACCTCGAGGTCCCGGCACACGCTGCTGTCCACATCGTCCAGGATCACGCCCTCCTGGGCCATGTTGTCTTTGATGACGATGATGCCGTTGGGGCGCAGGCCCTGCTGGCAGCGCCGCAGGAACTCGGCCAGGTGCTGATCGGTCAGGTGGCCTGGAAGGCAGAGGCGTGGGAACAGGATGGGGCAGGCACACGCGCCACTGGCTGCTCCTCAGCCACCGCTCATTCCACTTTGCACTTTACGATCGACACACAGGGCCAACTGCCCTCAACAGTCCAGGGGGTCGCTGAAGCCCATTTTGTGAAAGAGGAGACTGGGTCGAAGTCACCGAGCCACAGGCAGCCATGAAGCGTGCAGCTGGGATTCCACCCTGACCAGTGGCTTCAGGCCCTGCCTGACACCTCACTCCGCATGCCACCCACCCTCCTAGGCCGGGACCAGGGCGGTGTACCCAGCAGTTCCTTCCCTCCGTTAGAACTCCAGACAGGCTTTTTGGGACCACAGAATACAGGGCCAAGATGCAGTAGGCCCCACAGGGTGGTGCTGCCTGCCTGGGAGGGTGGCTGACCGCTGGCACAGGACATGATGGCAAAGCCGGCTCACTGCCAATAGCAGGGACAGCCAAAGCTTCAACCTTCCTCTTAAAAAAAACCCCTTTTATAAAATCTGTCCATGTTCTTTCTAAGTTAGTTAATTGGACATTTAAATTTTTTCAACAAAAAACTGCCTCCCCAATGGGTCACAGCAGGTGCTGAGTTAATAAAACCTGGGGAGAGATGTACCTTTAAGGTAGCGTGCCCCACGGTCCTGGGGCAGGGAGGCTGGAGGAACCCCCGCTGCCCGCCTGGTGCTGCAGGAGCAGCAGCTCCAGGCCATGGGGACTCGAGTCTGGGAAGCGGGACGCGCAGGACAGAGAAGACGGCAGCAGGAGGCTCACCTATCACCCACTGGATCCAGATGACGTCGTAGGAGTTGGGCTCCGGGCTGAAGTCCTGGAGGCCACAGCAGAAGTAGTTCCTCACCCTCTTGCCCTCCTCACCCAGGTAGGTCTTCGCTTTCGCCAGAAAGTCCTCCGTCACGTCCACCATGTCCACCGCCCGGAAGAGCGGCAGGAGCAGCCGCTTGGTGATCCTGCCAATGCCGGCGCCGCAGTCCAGGGCGCAGGAGGTCCCCGTCGGGTTGGGGCCTTCCTAAAACAGGACAGGCGTCAGGAAGGCTCGGAAAGCCAGAGGGACCCCGTCACTGCCCAGGGCCATGCCTCACAGCCCCTGAGGGACTCATCGAGCCTGGACAGTGGGTGTGAGCATGACATTTTCCTGGGTCACATTTCTAAAATGAAAGCCAGCTTCCACTTGGAGGTGCTGAATTGAATAGGCGCCTTCATTTCACTCCTGAGACCCCGTTAAAACGACAGCAGGAGCAGGAAGAATTCAGTCCGTGAGAGACCAGAAGAGGCCAGTCGATGGCACGGGACTGGAACAAACCTGGGGCGATGGCAGGTGGTGGAGAGACAGCCAGAGCGGCCTCTGCTGCTCGCTGACAGACAAGAGGGGCAGGGCCAGGAGGCTCCCGCCGGGGCAGGAGAGGCCTGGGCAGGAGTGACCAGGAGCTTGCCTTCTGCAGAACAGCCAACACCCACAGCCCAAATGCCCACAGACGTGGCCAGAGAGCCAAGGTTTCGTCCCTAGGGAGATGGGACAATTTAAAGGGAGACTACTCAGTTCTGGGACAGGGAACCCCCAGCATAACAGCCAGCGCCTGCCGGGTCACCTCGAGGCCCAGTCCACAGCTGCCCGCTGTCCTTCGGGCCTGGGCGGTAGACGGACACCGCAGGCCCTGCAGTGGCAGAGTCGGAGGGGCGCCAGCACATGCTCCGGAGCACCCCAGACCCGCCTACCCTCAGAAACCTCTGCAGGAACTTCCGGGAGCTGTTGATGTCGATGCTGGAGATGTGGCCGTACCCCCCAAGCATGCCGTCCACCGTCGGGGGGACGTCCTTCCAGTACGCCTTGGCCTTGGAGTAGAATTGCTTCTCGTCTTCTATCACCTTGCTCGCCATGCTGTCTCCCACTGCGTCGGCTGCAGCTCCGCAGTGGCGCCTCCTGCAGGAAAATGGAGTGCATCAGCCAGGCCGAGGGCCGTCTCACGTGCTGGGCTGGTCAGTCCTGCCTGACGCAGGGGAATGTCCGTGTCCCCGACCTGCTGCTGCCCCTCGGACGACAGTGCCTTATGTCTCTTGCATGCAGGTCACTTTACAAAGCGAACTTCACGTCAGAGGAGACCAGAGTCCTGGCTTCTAGTGCTTTCCTCACCCTCCCTGACACCTGGCTCCATGGCTTCTGACCCCAGCAGACAGAGAATCTGAGCTAAGAGAAAGGCGTGTGTGCCCTGGCCAGTGTTGCTAATGGTTAGAGCACCGGCCCTCGCAATGGAAGGTGGCGGGTTTGATTCCCCATCAAGGGCACATAGCTGGGTTGCAGATTCGCTCCCAGCCTGTTAGGGTGCATGCCGGAGGCAAATGCAACCAGTCAATGTGTCTCTCTCACATCGATGTTTCTCTCTTCCCCCCTCCCTCCCTCCCACTCTCTCTGAAAAGCAATAGAAAAAGATATCCTTCGGTGAAGCAAGGAGCTCAAGCCTGCTACAGTGTACGCTGCGGGGGGCGGGGGTGCTGGACAGTCCCCATGACCCCCTCTCTCTCGCTGGTCAGCACAGAAGCAAGCTCACTTCCAGGTCCAGTCCCTCATCAACAACCAGGCATCGTGCTGTGAACGGGGAGACAGAAGACAGCTTGACTCCATCACCACTAAGGGCTGGGAAGTACAGGGCATAGAAGGGCACAACCTAGAGCAGTGGTTCTCAACCTTCCTAATGCCGTGACCCTTTAATACAGTTCCTCATGTTGTGGTGACCCCCAATTTCATTGTTACAAATTGAACATCATTAAAGCATAGTGATTGATCACAAAAACAATATGTAATTATGTGTTTTCCGATGGTCTTAGGCGACCCCTGTGAAAGGGTCGTTCGACCCCCAAAGGGGTCGCGACCCACAGGTTGAGAACCGCTGCCCTAGAGGGACCTAACTCTGCTCTGGGGTCACGGAAGGCTCTGGGGAAGCGACCTCAGCTAAGACACGGCACCAGGAAGAGTTCCCTAAGCACCCGGGGCAAGGAGACTGCTCCAGGAAGAAGAGCGGGCACAGAGCCCTCGCAACTGGCAACTCAGTGTCCTACGGGTCACATTTGGCGGTTTAGATTTCACCCTGAAGAGCAATGACCTTGAACTCGCCAGGGCTAAGCAGGGAGTGACATGAGAAAATGGCTCTGGAGACTTGGCAGCTGTGTGAACTGCAGGGGCGAGAGCAAAGCAGACAGCGACAGTGTCACCACTGACGGGAGCATGACCAGGCGGACGAAGGGCCACAAAGCAGCAGCGGGGCCCCGGCAGCAGAGCGCAGGCCCACACTCAGCCAGCGGCCACCTTGTGCCCAGGAGGGACCTCAGGGTCTCATCCCCACCCTGAGGCCCTGGCCCTCGTCAACACGTGTCCACCCTGGCAGGTGTTCTGGTCGCTGAGGCTCGTCAACATGAAGCCTGACCCCCAGAGAGCTGGCAGCCCAGCAGGAGACGGGGCAAAATGAAACCCACACAGGGAGGGACCACCAGGACTCTCATGGAGCCAGAAAGTGCCGTGGATCTCAAGGCTGGAGGACTCCTTTCTGAATGGCGGCCAGGAGGTGACACGCAAGCGTACCACTGCGATGCTCTGGCATCCCGCGTGGCATTCAGCAAAACACACACTTCCCGGTAAATGAGCAAAATAAATCGGAGACCGAACCCTTGCCTGGCTCTCCTCTCTCTCTGCCTCGCCGGCCCTCCAGCGTTTAGCTTCCCAGGCAGGGTCATGACTTTCAGCACCATTAGCCCAGCACCTGACACAAGGTGGGTGTTTGCTGATTGGTTGTTGAATGAATCAAAGCATGAGCTTTGTGTGGCTACAGCCAGTTTCCACTTTTAAGAAAACCCCACATAAAAATCCGCCCATTCAAAACTGGTAACACTGAAGGCCATTACCGACAATATAATTATTTGCTTTACCAAAAGCCGTAAAAAGGATTCCTTTAAATGTCAAGGTCCCCTGAATAACCTAATTTACAAGAATTCCACTTACAGGCAAATTCTAGGAACAAGCCAGGGGAGACCCATCTAGGCCAGGAAATGGCAACTGTAACTTTGACATTTGTTCTAAGAGCGGATACATTAGTAAACGAGACTCTGGGGCCCTGTCTACACTGCGCCTCCCGGTGTGGGCAGCGGGTCCCCAGGAGTCAGAGAGAGCAGGGCTGTCAAACAGCAGGAAGCCCTCCCACACTCCGCCCAGATGGCGGTGAGGAGCTTCACCACTAGAGACCGATGGGGCCAGGGTCGGGCTGGGGACAGCCTGGCTGTGTGTGCTCTCGGCGGACTTGGAGGGGAAGAGAGACCCTTTGCTCACGGTGAACGTGTGCTCCTCGGCGGGGAGCATGTACCTGCCCAGCCTTCACGGTCATCGAGCCACCTTCTCCCCCTCCAAGGTGTTTAGGGCAACACCTGGATAGCTGCCCCAGCTCCTTCTCTTTCCCGGGATCCATGGAAGAGAATGGTGTTTGAACTGTCACTGCAGTGCAGGGCAGAGCCACCTCAACCTCTAAGTCATCGTCTCTAGCAAAAGCAGGAGGCCAGGGCCCGTCTGAGTTACCTCCTCCTCCTCGCAGCCTGCGGGGCAGGGCCTGTTCTCCTTGGATCTGTGTGTCTGCAGTTGGACATAGGAGAATGGCAGGATGCTCTATGAAAAAGAAAGGGAAGAAGGGAGGAAGGAAGAAAAAAAATTAGGGGAAAATGTTAAAAACCAACAAAGGCTCTGACGAAATCAAGTGAACCAGGTGTGAATCCTGGCTCTGCTGCTCATCAGCTGTGTATGCTCAGCTCAGACACTTAACCTGTTACCGAAGCTTCTCATCTATAAAATGGGAGCAGCAATACTGACTCTAAAAGCATAAAGGGGCCCTGGCCAGTGTTGCTCACTGGTTAGAGTTGTCCCGTACACTAAAGGGTGGTGGGTTCAATTCCCAGTCAGGGCATATATCTGGGTTGTGGGTTCGTTTGCTGCTCAGGGCACAGACAAGAGGCAGCTGAGTGATGTTTCTCTCTCTCTCTCTCTCTCTCTCTCTCTAAAAATCAATAAATTTTTAAAAAAGGATAAAGTGACCCATACAGTGCCGGGCACATGTTATCTCCAGTTTCGAAATCTGTCGAATGAGATTCCCATCAGTTATCTCTGCCAATCCTGAAGCTCAAAGGAAAATGCACTGAAGTGACCTATACATAGTGTTGGACACACCTAGGGGTTACTGCCGTTATGCTGGGTGGTGGGCATTCAGCAGCCTCACACAGCTGAGCCTGGGGGGGGGGGGGCCTCCCCATCCCTGCGAGCACAGAAAGGCTGCGAAGATCGGGAGATGCTGTCTTTGAGACCGGCTTCTGGCCTCCGTTCTACAGCATTCCGCACGCACCGCCATTCCTGCCACAGCCCCCAGTTCACAGACAGAAGAACCGTCCCACTACAGGAGCGATGCTCCTTAAAACACACAGCGAACCAGGAACAGGAGGGAACCCAGCCGTCTTACCCAGAGGCCTAGTCCTCCCAGGGCCTCATCCCAGGGCCCCGGGCAGCGATCCTACGCGTCCAGACCTCGGCACCCTGCCCCACGGCCTCGGGCCCAGCGGTGTCTTTCTGCCCCTTCCCTACACAGCCGGTCCACTGGGCCGAGATCCCAGCCCACAGCAGCAGAGCCTGGCCTCTGACAGCCTCTCCTCAAGCAGGCTGACCTTGGCTGCAAGGTCTCCCGGCGGCGGACCTGTCCGGCCAGGCCTGGGGCCGCGTCCAAGGGGAACGATGACAGCAACTCCCAGGTAACGGGCACGCCGTGCACCGGCTCCGGACTGAGCGCCTCCTTACCCCGGCCTCTCGCGGGGGAAACTGAGGCTCAGAGAAGGAAAGGGATTTGCTACGGCCCGGCCCCGGCTTTGGGGACCCCGGCCACCCCCCCAACCCCCCACCCGTGGCCCGGTCCGGCCCGCAGACCTTGCCGGAGCGCGCACGTGGGGCCGGGGCCGGGGCGTCGCACGCCGGGTCATGTGACGAGCCGGGACCTCGGGGCGCGGAGGCAGTTGGGGGTCTCGTGCTACTCACCCCGGGGGCGGCTCCCGGGACCCGAGAGAGGGACGAGGAAGAGAGGGCGGCGCAGCAGCGAAGACCTAGAGGCAACAACCGCCTGGATCGGACCAAACCAGACAGACACCTCGCGGCGCGCTGCCTTTGTCCGCTCGCGTCACTTCCGGGTGCCGGGAGGGCGGGGTCGGGCTGGCTCCGCCCCGCGACCGGGTTGCCCCGCCCCGCGGGCTCCTGAGCGGAGCCGACTTCTGTGTCCCAGACGGAGAAGGGCCGCGGCGTTGACCCCCTCCCGGCCACCGGTGCACTGGGAGGGTGTAAGGCCGGACTTTAAAAAACTAGTATTCTGTGGCTTTCCCACTGGGTTAAAGAGGGGGCATAAAAGCCTTATTCCTCAAATCCCGTCCAGAACAAATCACGTCTTAAAATCATATACAGATCCAAAAAGGAAAGAAGAAAAAAAAAGAAATAACCTTGGCAGTGCCCAGGGGCTGCCACCCCAAATAAGCAGAATAAGCCCATGAAGCTTCCATTCCAAAAAGATTGCCCTCCCCTAGGTTCCCCCATAATATAGAAATTCTTCCAACGCTCTGAGGCTAGGTCTGTGGGATATTGCACGGCAAGCCTTCGGTTTTGCGCTTGCAGCTGCTATAATGACAGTATTCATCCTAAGTTCATTTTCCTAAACTGACCTCCTGGCCTTAAATTGCCAGTTCCTCCCTCGGGGTGTTGCACACAGGAGTTGCTTAAAGTGTGTTTACTCTAATGAAGTGAAAACTACATGGGGGTGCTGAAAACCCCACCTGCGGAGCCCCCCACATCTGCCTATGTCCGTATTTGACATCCTCTCTAGAGTACTCAGGGCCGCATACAGGTCGGACGTGGGTCCCCTCCCAAGCTTCATGTCCCATGTCTCTGAGGGAAGGGGAGACATCCTGGGCACCGTCCATCTTATCTGAGGGCAGCTCTGAGGTTAGCTCTTTTAGGGGTGCCTAAAAATCCATTCCTTCTTTACTTCCTGTCAACAGAAGAGCAAGTCCTTACCCTACACACGGACTCCAGGTCTGGCCAGCCCCCTGACCTCAAAGCCTCTTGCATGTCTGAATTCCCAAACCTGGAGCCAATGTGTACAGCAGGCAAAGGCTGGAGGGCGCCTTGGACATCGTCTAGTCAGCCTGATGCTCCTCACCCGATAAAAAACACCTCACATACCATTAAAATAAGTAAAAATATATTACCTTCCCTCCTCAATACTCTACCTCCCCGAGGAGGTATGCCCTTCCACCCGTGGCTGAGGCGTATTTGCAGACATAGAACACAGTCTCCAGGCAGACACCTGATCGTTTATTACAAAGTGGTTTTCTTTTCATTTTCAAATGGTAGATTACACCATGCCGGTGAAATTACGGGCCCACACTCAGAGTTCACAAATCGCGCTTGTACCGTGGGGTCCATTTTACCAGGGAGCCCTGGCCAAGGACACTTGTCCCGCACCGCGCAGCGCACAGATGCAGCGCATGGGCTCCAGCTGAGTCTCTTCGCTTCCAGGCCGCTGCCCTGGCGCTGCCAGCCTTCCACCGGAAGTTCTACGGAGCCACCAGCCCCAACATGACCCACCTGGGCCTCCCGGACCTGGAGGGGGCAATCCCTGGCCCTCCGTTCCTGACTGGGGCCTGGCTGCGCTGGTCAGAGTTCCACGCGCCCCCCCCCCCCCCCACTCCCCGGGACTGCAGCCTTGGCATCCGGAGCACAACAGCCCCGACCTCTGTGCCCAGGCCTCGGTGCCCACTGCTCCTCACAGGGCCTTGGGTGAGGGGCGGATCACAATGACCCCAAGAGGCCCTGGAGGCCGCAGGGAGGGGCCAACGGAGGGGCCAGGCGGGGAAGATGGGCTCTCCCAAGCTCCAGCCACCTGTAGGGGGCGCTAAACTCCCTGGGACCTTCTCTGGCCCCCACCCGAAGCCCCACTAGGTGCGTGTGCCTCTAGGAGCCAGCTCAGAGCTGACAGCATCTGGGAGGGAGGTGGGGTAGGGAGGAGGCAAGCGGGCTTCTGTCTCCCGAAGGGAGAATTTGTTAACAATACGTCTTGGCCCCGCCGCGAACCTACTGGATCAGAACCCGGGGCAGCTGTATTTTCCAAAGCTCCCCACCCGGGGGCGGGGTGGCTGGGGCCCAGCAGGAGACAGGTGCCTCCTTTGGAGCTGGTTCCGTCTCCTGATTCCCAGCAGGGCGAGTGCTGGGAGCGGCCACAGCCGGGGTCACCCCGTTCCGCAGCGGAGGCCACCGCGCGCGCAGCGGGCGCGCCCCAGGTTACAGCCTGATCGGCACCTGATGAGGCTGAGACTGGATCCTAAACAATAAGCCTTTCAGGTTGTCATCATAATAGCGACCAGGGTGTGCTGGGCACGGACGCCGCGCCCGGCGCTGCTCCCAGCCCGGTGCGCGCGCGCGCCCATCCGAACGGCACAGCAACCCGGGCCCGCGGGTGCCCTCGCCGTCACCGTCCTCCAGGTGAGGACACAGAGGCCGGGCTCCAGCCTGAGGCCGCTCCGCGCCCGCGGGCCCGCGCGATGTTCCCCGCAGACCGCGCGGGGCGCCATGGCCTGGGGCCGGTCTCTGCCCTCCGCGCCGCGTCACCAGGCAACCCGCGCCCCCCGGGGTGTGAGGATGCCCTGAGCTGACCGCCGGCCAGACATGCCCCGGCGGCACCCCGACTCCCGAGCCCAGCAGGGGGCTCCCAAGAGGTTCCCGGGCGAGGGCGCTCCGCGACGGAGGGACCCGCTGCTGCCCGGCTGGCGCCTGTGCGAACCGCGACCGGCCGCGGGCACGGGGCGGTCCGAGGGCTGGCGGGCGCGGGGCGGCTCCGAGTGGTGGCAGGCCTCCGGCGGCGAGTCCCCCCTCCGCAGCCCCCCGCCGCGCATGCCGCCTCTGCCCGGCGCGGCTCTGCGGGCGGCGCGGAGGTCCGGGCTCAGGGCGCTGCTGCTGCCGCCCCGGTTCCTGGACAGAGCGCCCTGGACACGGGTGTCCCTGTGTCCCGAGCCTGGAGGACACGGGAAGGACCGGAGGGGCGCGGCCAGGGAGGCCAAGGACTCCCAGGACTCCCAGGACTCCCTGGGCGCCCTGCTAGGCCAGTTCCTCCCCAGCAGGTTCCAGAAGTTCCTGCGCCAGCTCGGGACCCAATGGGTGGAGCAGCTGGAGCGGCAGAGTGAGGCCCCGCGGGTCCCCGGGGGCTGGGCACGGGGCTGAGTCCTTCGGTGGGAGGCCCTCCCACCCCCTCCCCCTTTCTAAGAACTGGATGTCCGTGGACTCCAGGCTGAGCTCTGGCGGCCACCCTGGAGGGCGGGCCTGCCACTGCCCGTTGTGGGGAGGAGGAGACGGAGGCCCGGGCCTAGAACGGAGAGGACCTTCGAAAGGGCTGTCCCCCAGCAAAGGCCCATAACTGTTTCCGCCTCCTGGCTCCCAGCAGCCTCGGAACCGGAACCGAGCCACCAGAGGGGTGTGTCAGACCACTGGTGGGGACAACCTTCTCCGTGTTCCAGCCGCTCCTTCCTTCCCGACCTGCGGTGAGCGTCAGTGACCCGCGGGTGGGGGGTTGGGGGGGAGGAACAGGGTTGCCATTGATGCTCCGAGGTGGGGAACCCTGACCACTCATGCCAGGGGTGGCCTATTTGTCTTCAAGGTGCCAGTCATCGAACCTCCAGAATAACCTCAGGAAGGTTTCGAGCCATCAGATACCTACCCTGGGGCCGCTAAGGAGAGATTGCACACAGTTCACCGAGGCCAGAAAGGCCAACAAGTGAGCTCTGGGAGCGTGAGGGAAGGGGGAAGGGCATCTTTCTTTTCTTTCCTCCGCCCTTCGCCCATGAACTTACCTATCTGTCCATCTACTCATCCATCCATGTGTCCATCCACCATCGGGTCTTCCACCAAAGCATCATAATCCATCTGAGTCCACCCATCCATCCATCCACCCACCCACCCGTCCACTCATTCATCATTACATCGCTCTATCCACGAATCCGGTTTTCTCCCAACACATTCGAGACTCATCCATCAACATCTATGACTCCATCTACCCATTAATCTGGTCTTCTACCAACACATTCATAATTCACCCCTGAATCCATTCATATATTCATTCACCCATCCATCCTTGTATATATCTTATCTATGAGCCAGGTCTTCTACAACCTATTCATTAATCCATCCTTCCATCCACCCATCTAGTCAGTCATTCATCTATTCACAAATTCCCACAGTTCTATCCACGAATCCAAGTTATAGATTAATTATCTAGAAATCCTTCTATCCACTTATAAATCCAGGATACTATCCATCTCCAATCTAGTCATGAAGCCATCTACAAGTCTACATATCCATCTACATAATTATTCATCCACCCATTCATACATCTACCCATCCTCCTAAGCTCTAGTTCTTCCATTCAGATGTTTTAATTAATTCATCCATCATTCCATCCATCCACCTACCCACACACCAGTCTTCCGTCCTTTTGCCCAGTCCACTATTCTTTCACCCATATCTTCTTCTACCATTTATTAGGTTTTACTATATGTCGAGTATTGGGGGGAATTAAATAAGGGATGGAGGGAGGAGAAGGGCCTGGGCACTAGAGCTCCCTGGGACTTAGAAACCATAGCTTGGAGGAATGGAGGGGGAAAGAATGCAGAAGAATCCTCCAGTTTAAACAGAGACAGGGGTGAAGGGTGAAGACTGCCCATGAATGTAAAGACCCAGGGAGAGTGAATACATGACTTACATACCATCCTTCAAACCCCTGACCCATGGCAGGCAGTACTAATGGATCACAGCACTTTTCCCCACTGAGCCTCAGAACCCTTCCTGACACCACACTCCTCGCAGACACCCCTGATGGATCAGAGTAGGTGCCAGAAATGAAACACATTGGCCAACCCAGGAGCTTTAAATCTCTCAGACCAGGTAGACACCCTGCTTATCATAAGAGATAAGAAATAAGAGCAGCGGTTCTCAACCTGTGGGTCGCGACCCCTTTGGGGGTCGAACGACCCTTTCACAGGGGTCGCCTAAGACCATCGGAAAACACATATATAATTACATATTGTTTTTGTGATTAATCACTCTGCTTTAATGATGTTCAATTTGTAACCATGAAATTGG